AATTAAATTAAATATCATTAGTATTGCCAGCTTTGGTATCGGCAGTGTTTGCTTACCATTCTCTCAGTCCTTTGTCACGCATTTTTCACTCTACGAACCACATTTTTCAAGCAGATTAATTGTTCAAAACCATAACGGTACGTAATTTAACGTAACACTCGCTATCACGATTCCTGCAGTCCACATAAGACTTGGCACTTAATCAGAGAGGTATCGAGCTAAAACTAGGGTTTAATTAGAGAGCCATCGAGTTTAAAATTAGCGTCATTAGCATAGCCATGGGCTTTATCAGCTAAAGCTTGATCCGGTCAGCTAACACTTGACCGAATTAGATAAAACACATGATTGAAGATGATAACTTCGGTGGCGTAGGTGGATGACGTGATGAGACAAACGTTTCTATTGCTAACAATTCTTTATCAAAACTTACAAATTTAGTTTATTCCTTGTCAGATAACTGTAATACATCCGCCACGACATTGGCGACCTTTGAATTTTTATTGCGGTCTCCTGAATAATACATCTGATCGTTCTCTGTAACAGGCAATGGCAATATTTAATGTTCTCATTTTAGGTCAATGCCACAATAATTCCATCTGAAGACCGCTGGTCTAGCAGGTTAAATCACAGATCAGCATTCCATTACAGACACTGCTCCATAATAATATTTTAAGACCCCATCAGACAGACAGCCCCAAAAGAAAAAATTCTGTCCAATTTTGTTATGGCTGCATACAAAGTTAGGAAAAATAACATTTTCCGATAACACCTTCAAACCCAGAATTTTCCTCAAACACAAGAGGTTCTATTAGCCTCTAAAAGTGCAAATGATGAAGCAATAATAATTATTAGGTGAATAATAGATAGACATGTGGGCTCAACGCATCCTGCCTCACAACAATATGTGTCTGGTACAGTTGTTCTGGACATGGTGGGTTAGTGGTAACTGTCCAAGGCCAGCTCAGGATAAAAACTAATTTACTTGATCGATTGTGTGTGTGTGTGGGGGGGGGGGACGTTGAGGGAGTAGGCTGCTAATGGGACAGCCGTTAAAGAGAAGAAGTTGGAAAGCGGGGGGGGACAGATAGCTGTCTCACAACAATATGTGTCTGGTACAGTTGTTCTGGACATGGTGGGTTAGTGGTAACTGTCCAAGGCCAGCTCAGGATAAAAACTAATTTACTTGATCGATTGTGTGTGTGTGTGGGGGGGGGGGGACGTTGAGGGAGTAGGCTGCTAATGGGACAGCCGTTAAAGAGAATAAGTTGGAAAGCGTGGGGGGACAGATAGCTGAAACAGCAGACTTTCGATTTTTAAAGATCTTAAATAGGCAAAGAACACGTCACATCACTGAAGTGATGTCACTATTTTTAGTCAAAGTTTTCGTAAAATATAGCACCTAATAATGTCTCTCCACTTACATATACCAGTAGCAATGTATAGAGTAGATAGAAGAAGAAGAACAACGTTTTGGTAAAACATTTCGTAAACTAAAGTGGTAAACACGTTTTCGTCTAGGTTAAGACCCACTACGCTGGCTTACATTTTCGAATCAGTACAGAACAGCTGTTGAGAGACTGGCCAAACGGAATACCAGGATTTTTTATTAATATCCTAATGAGATTGGTCATACTCTACGCCCGGATGTTCTATTAATAGATTTCCGCCATTAAATGGCACAGTGCATTGGGTGGCTACACATATTTTTGCTGAACATTTGGTGAAGATCAGCATCAGGTCATTTTGACATGATTATTTCTGAGCTAGAAATATTGAGGACTTGAAGGAAATCTTGAGGTGTGTCCTGCTTCCTTCTCACAACCGACCCTCCCCCTACTCAACATGTTCTTTAATTAATTGTAATGAGATGATAGAAGAAGCTGTCACGCTGCAAACGTCATGCGTCTAGGTTGAACTCAGGTAAACAAGTTTAATTTTTTTTCCTTAGGGGAGACGACTATTGTATTTATCAATAGAGAGCCTCGGGTTTGGTGTAGAACTGTCTGTAGAAATATTTTTTAAAGGCCGGCAGTCAGGGTTTAGGACTATACGTAGGCCAATTTTTTAAAGCCCAAGTTGGGTGAATGACGGTCTGTAGGCCTATTGTTTAAAGGCCAGGTAGGGTGTAGGACTGCCTGTAGGCCTATTGTTCAAGACCGGAAGATAGGGTGTCGGACTTTACGTAGGCCTATTGTTTAAAGGCTGAAATATATTATAGAAACTGAGAAGTTAACTCTATTAGGCTGCGCTTGGACCCAACCGATATTTTCTCAAAATACGCGGACGCTGTGTAAAAAATACTGCACCCGGTTATGGCCTAGCCAGTTTTTTTTTTTTTTAAACGTCAGCTATTCCCTCAAAGAGCCAAATCGTCCATGAAGCTGCAGGTTACCAACCCGCTTCTAAGGTTGCCGATCCTGCTCTGTGGTAGACAAACCTGTTCTAAAATTACCGACCCTTCTCTGAGGTTGCCAAACCTCTTCTGAGTTTGCCGACCCTGCTCTGAGGTTTCCGACCCTACTATCAGATTTTCAACCCCGCTCTAAGGTTACCGACCTTGCTCTGAGGTTTCCAAACCTCTTCTAAGGTTGCCGACCATGCTCTGAGGTTGTCAACGCTGCTATGAGGTTGTCGACCATGCTCTGATGCTGCCGACCCTGCTCTGAAGTATCCGACCCTACTCTGAGGTTTCCGACTCAGCTCTAAGGTTGCCGACCCTGCTCTAAGGTTGCAGACCCTACTCTAAGGTTGCCAACACTGCTTTGAGATTTCCGACCCTGCTTTAAGGTTGCCAACACTGCTTTAAGGTTTCCAACCCTGCTCTAAGGTTGCATATCCTGCTCTAAGGTTGTCTATCCTCTTCTGAGGTAGCCAACACTGCTTTGAGTTTGCCAACCCTGCTCTGAGATTACCAACCACCTTCTGAGGTAGCCAACCCTGCTTTGAATTAGCCAATCCTGCTATGAGTTTGCCAATCCTGCTCTGAGGTTACCAACCCTCTTCTGAGGTAGCCAACCCTGCTTTGAATTTACCAATCCTGCTATGAGGTTACCAAACCTCTTCTGAGGTAGCCAACCCTCCTATGAGTTTGTCAACCCTCTTTCAAGGTTGACAACCCTGCTCAGGGATTTTTAAATAAAATCGCCCTAAAAAAAGCCATTTCACATTTTCAACTAACAAATACGCTTCTAACTAGCCTGGGTATAATTTGTTTTGGACCAGAGCTGAGTGGAGAAGTGTAACTGAACTGACAAACTGGTAGAGTCTGACACAAACTAACTGGCACTGTCACACTTGTAGAGTCTTTCACTGTCTAACTGGGACTTTCACATTAGTAGATTCTGTCACAGCCTAACTGGCACTGTCACCCTTGTAGTGTCTGTCACAGACTAACTTGCATTGTTCACACCGTTAGGGTCTGTCAGTCTACCTGGGACTTTCACATTTGTACAGTCTGTCACACTCTACCTGGGACTTTCACATTAGTAGAGTCTGTCACAGGCTAACAGGCACTGTCACACTGATAAAAAAATTATGTGAACTTTCTAGCTGACACTGTCCACACTGATACACTACTTCACAGTCTTACCGCGAAATTCGGAAATTCTTCATTTTCTCTGTTCACAGCCAGGTAACCCTTAGAGACTATGACATCGAAGGAGGTCTTAATTAAAATGTCTTGAAACTCTCGCTTCGATCAATGGCCAGTTAGTGTCCTGTTTAGATTTATTTGCCCAGATTAAAAACAAAAAAATCTTTGGAAATTATTGTACGTTTATTTTATAACTTTTGTGTTGTGTTTGTTTTCTTCAGATTTGAGAATATCGTAAATATGTTTCCCAGTACATCTGACCGTGCATTCAAACCCGTCAGATCAATGTGTTTGTGGATGTGAACGTGAAGTACATCTGACCGTGCATTCAAACCCGTCAGATCAATGTATTTGTGGATGGGAAGTTAAGTACATCTGACCGTGCATTCAAACCCGTCAGATCAATGTATTTGTGGATGGGAACGTGAAGTACATCTGACCGTGCATTCAAACCCGTCAGATCAATGTATTTGTGGATGTGAACGTGAAGTACATCTGACCGTGCATTCAAACCCGTCAGATCAATGGATTTGTGGATGTGAACGCGAAGGTTGATATTTAGCTAAAAAAATTCTTCACATGAAGTCTTCACGTTATTAATTTTAAAATAAAATTTAAAAATAACCAGGAAAAAAAAAACAACAACAAAAAAATTAAACAGCCACAAACCACAAATATGTGTTCATATTGGGTTAACATTTTTTAAGCGTCTGAAGGAGCGCTGTTCAAAATGAGGTTTAATAAGAGCGCTTCTTAGCTTTACTGAACAACACGAGAAGGTCGATGATTGAGTTTAGTGTTAATTTATTTATTGAATTATGTGTCCTTCATCATTCCGGAATATGGCGAAATTACTTTTTTAATCATTTTTTTTAAAAGACAAAGAAGGGTTTCCATCAGATTTCTTAAGGATAACAAAGTAATAATTATTTATTTTGAACGCACCCAGCAACCTCTTTGATCGATCGCTGCAACGTAACATTACTCTTTCATGTCATTTTTGTGACTATGCTTACTTTATTCTGTCTTATGATTGATTCTAATTTCTTCATTGTGTCTTTTGAGTGGTTCTACTTTTTTCATTGCATTGTGTCTTTTGAGTGATTCTACTGTCTTCATTTTGTGTCTTTTGAGTGATTCTACTGTCTTCATTTTGTGTCTTTTGAGTGCATGGTTCTACTTTCTTCATGTTCTTTTGAGTGATTCTACTGTCTTCATTTTGTCTTTTGAGTGATTACTATTTTCTTGATTGTGTCTTTTGAGTGGTTCTACGTTCTTCATTGTGTCTTTTAAGTGGTTCCACTTTCTTCATTGTGTCTTTTGAGTGATTCTACTGTCTTCATTGTGCTGGGGCGTATTATGAAGATATGTTCAATGCCAAAATACCATCAAACACTTGTTATTTTTCAGGATTGTCCCTGCCCTTGCAACAATTGACGTGTTCGTATCCACTCTAACCATTGTGGTCATCGCTCTCGACCGCTACCTGTCCATCGTGCACACCTCACAGTTAACGACACGTCACGTGGTCTCAGCACTGGTCATCATCTGGACATTGTCCATTTTGCTGTCCACGCCACTGTTTTGTTTCCATAAAATCGATACACAAGAGGTCAGTAGAGTGTGCCATTAAAGTAGGCCAGAAGAGTATGTCATTTAAGTAGGTCAGTAGAGTGTGTCAGAGAAATCAGCTTGCTTTCCTCTACAATCAATCACTAAATTTTATATCGTCATTTTCCTCTATACGCCAATAGCCTATTGTTTCTTGATTTTTCTATCCACAAACTAGGCCTACTTTTACTTGATGTTTTTCTCTACAAACATAGCCTACTTTCACACGATTCTTTTCTTTACAAACATAGCCTAATTTTTCTTTATTTTTCTCTCTTTACATAAAGCTTATTGTTTCTAGCTGTTTCTCTCTAAAAATATAGCCTACTGTTTTATTGATTCTGTCAATGTTTTAATGACATAAAAAAAGTCAAAAATTAAATGAGCCATCGATTTGTTGAGACTAAGAATAACATTAACTGTTTTTATCACCTTAATGGCTGTGCAGAGCAAACTATTTATTTTAATTCTCAATACGGAACCCAATGGCATGGGTACTGTTTGCCATTTAAGGATTCAGTGGCATTGGGACCGAAGACATGTAAAGGACCCCATGCTGCTGGTACTGTATACCATGAAGGGATCCAATGACACGGGTACTGTATCCCATCTAGGATCCAGTGGCATGTGTACTATGAACCACGTAGGGATATAATGAAAAAGTTCATGTACACCATGTAGGTATCCAGAGGCACAGTTATTGCATACCATGTATAGGGATCAAATGGTACAGTTACTCTATACCACATAGGGATCTAATGGAATGGGCACTGTTATAACACACAATGATGTGATGGCAGGGATAATTGTTGGGAACCAGGGATGTAATGTTACTGGTAATATCGAGCATCCAGTGATGTTGTTACGTTCCGTTATATAATAATGTAAATTTAATCACTTTTAAGATTTGGCTCGTTAAATGAACAATACGTAACAAAGGACTGAAAACAATTATACATAGAAAAACTCAACCAACGCTATTTATGTTTACAGTATTCAATTAAATTATACTATTTAATGTACATTTCAAATAATACACAATTCATTACTGTTATATTCGACGCACACGATATTTATTTGAGAAACTTGGCAAATATTGATATGAGAACCTGGAAAATATTTACATGATACATTTGGAAAATATTCAAATGAGAAACTTGGCAAATATTTATATTACGAGATTTGCCTACATTCATATCAGAAACTTGGCAAATATTTATATTACGAGATTTGCCTACATTCATATCAGAAACTTGGCAAATATGTATTTTACAAGAATGTGGCTACATTTATATGAGAAGCTAGGCAAATATTTATATGAAAAACTTGCACCAATATTTCTATGGTTTTAACATTTCTGTGAAGCCGGAATCAGATTGTAATCCGCTCTTAACATGTATTTAGGAATAGCCATAAAACAATGTGTGACGGTATTCGACAATTTAATTTTAATCTTCGTAGATACAAAACGTTAAGTTAGTATTCGGATAAAAAGAATCGTAGGCCCCGATTCTGAGTTAAATAATCGAAGTGGCGATCTTTCTGACATCTCAACCGTTTATTCCCACACAGCATGAACTAAAGATTGTCACAATTAAAGCTGGTATTTTCGGGCTGGGAACTTCCTGAGACTAAGAGCTTTTTCTTTGATACTTCGTCTGGCCTATAATCAATAGTGTGTGCGTTGCGCAATTTAAGTTTCAAATCCTGGGGGAAATAATTTTGGTGTCAAATGTTCATAAATTCTGGCTCAGAGAGTAAATTACTTGATCCAAGGGACATCACCTTCCTGCGAAAGAAACTAACATAGTCTTCCAAATCCCCAAGGAAAACGAATCAATATCAAAATGACATGTCAAGATTTGTCTGTTTTGGAGAGAACAATCCCCAGAACGCCAGTATCTTAAAATAATAACGTGGTCGGTAATTGATTAATGCTAAAAAAAACTTGCCAATTGAAATACAATTTTAAAATAATTTCCAAGACACACATGTGATGGCTTACATACCAACTATATAAACTTTATATGGACGAAGTGTAGTCACTGTTAGGATTTTAAAATTCTGCAAAATTCTTCCTTTTTTGTAAAAAACACGAGGATACACGTAAAAATACATGTTAGAATACACGTGAGAATAAATGTGAGAATACATGTAAGAATAATTGAAAGAATACACTTTATGAATACACGTGAGAGTACACGTGAGAATGCATGTGAAAATACATTTGAGAATACACGTGAGAATACACGTGAGAATACATTTGAGAATACATTTGAGAATACACGTGAGAATACACGTGAGAATACATTTGAGAATACATTTGAGAATATATGTGAGAATACATGTGAGAATACATGTAAAAATACAAATGAGAATGCAAGTGAGAATACATGTGAAAATACGCGTGAGAATACATGTGAGAATACATGTGAGAATACACTTGAGAATACATGGGAAAATACATGTGAGAATACATGTGAAAAAACACGTGAGAATACATGTGAGAATACATGTGTGAATACATTTGAGAATACATGTGAAAATACATGTGAGAATACACGTGAGAATACACGTGAGATTACATGTGAGAATACATTTGAGAATACATGTGAGAATACATTTGAGAATACATGTGAAAATACATGTGAGAATACAAATGAGAATGCATGTGAAAATGCATGTGAGAATACATGTGAGAATACATGTGAAAATACATGTGAAAATACATTTGAAAATACATGTGAGAATATATGTGAGAATACATGTGAGAATACAATTGAGAATATTCATTGACGATATATTCTGTGTATCTGTCCAGCTCTCACTAAAGGTGAAACAATTTAGATGACTAGCAGATTCAAAGTGAGTAAAGGTAAAAACATATTACAAGCATTAGCACTTAATAAAATCTCTAACACATATTACAATCACTAACACTAAATTTATTTACACAAAGGTCTCAAAATATTTTGTTTTAAATTTAACAAGATTAGCTTTCTTTGTAAAGAATGTTTAAATACATGTATACTTTCAGTTGCCAGTGTTAAATATGATACAGCAGCGTAGTCAGTGTGGGTAGGGGGTGGGGGGGTGGTAAACACGTGAAGTGGCCATGCACCTCCAACGTTGTTTGGAAAGATGGGCCTTTTTCAAAACCCAAATTATCCTTTTTTCAGACCTAAATTTAACACCTCAAAAGGCGATATTGTCCAAATCATTCAATTAACAGGCGTAATGGCATTCACCGAGCCTCCAACTTCATTTTTAGTAGTGTACTTCTGTATACAAATATCCTCCTCATCCTCATGTCCCTTACTCCTTGGACCCTTGGGGCGCCACAGTATAAGTAGTTTATATCTGTTTACCAATATATGGAGTGTATGTCTCTATTCCAATATATATATATATATAATGTATGTCTGAAAACAATCTATATATATATATATTATATATATATATATATATATATATATATATATATATATATATATATATGTATGTATATATATATATATATATATATATATATTAGTGTAAGTCTGTATACAAATTAAGTATTGTACGTCTGTATATCAATTATAAAAATGTCGTTAAAAACCTTGCATATTTTAGATTAATTTCGTTTAATAAATTGTTAACAACTTTTGAATTGATTAAACTATTTAAAAGTGAAAAATTTAATTTGATCTCAATTAAGAATGAAGCCTTTGGATTGGTTCAAAAGTGAGACATAAAACATATGACATCTGACATAAGATCTGTGACATCTGACATAAAAAAATTTACAGGAGACATCTGATAACAGACAAAAGACATGTGACATGAAACAACTGACATCTGACATGAGACCTTCTGAGACCTTCTACTAAACGAAAGGAACATGGAACTTAGAAAAGAAATAGGAAACGTGAAGTAATTGCAGAAGTACACCTAATGCCTTTTAATAATTCAAGTAAAAATGATTTTATTTCTTGGGTCCTTGTGCAATGATAGATTTCTTGATTGGTAATAAGTATCCTGTAGAAGCCCATATATCTTTCAAAATTTTATTTTTATTTTCCACGTAATAAGTAGTTTTCGGATTTCCTTGGAAGGGGAAGCGTCAGATTTGCAATACTTTTTAAATCATTGTTAGATACGTAGCGAATAGCTTAGACTAAAGAGAGCGTAGCTCAGAATGCTTCAAAAAAAGAAAACAATTTCATTTTTGACATTGCGTTACGCACTGCCTTCTATTATGAGAAATTAATCTCCAATTTTAAATTGATGGCTTGTTCAAACAGTGCCTAACAAAGGACGATACCATAGAAAAATACAATAACAAAATTCGACACCAAAAACAGTACCAATTACAATTAATAATATTTATTTAAGTAATTACAAAACAAAAGAAAATATAATTACAAATCATCAACTTACAGAGTATGGGAAAAATCTTGTACTGGTACACAATTAGTACAATGTGCCAATCAATAATGATGAATGATGAAATGCGAACAAACACATATAAGTACACAAAGAATAATACATGTCTCGTGAAGTTAAAAATCTCCGTCCCTCTCTGTGCCTGTCAATCACTTATATATGTGGGTCTACCAACGCGTCTAGAAACGCCCTTACTTTTCTAATACAATCGAGAACGTTCCATAAGATACTTGTAGACAAACCATGTTTAATTGGAAGAGTAAAACAAAATCTGCAATAACAGACTTAACAACATCCTTCTCTGACTTACTCTTTAAATACAATGGAGAACGTTCCATAAGATACTAGTAGACATACAAACCATGTTTAATTGGAAGAGTAAAACAAAATCTGCAAGAACAGACTTAACAACATCCTTCTCTGACTTACTTTTTTAATACACTCGAGAACGTTCCATAAGATACTAGTTGTAACACATGTTACTTTATTGCTGACATAACATGGTTAGCTAATACTTTGTTTGATTGTCATGGATGCGCTCTCACATGCGTAGTGTAATTAATTCTCTCACTCCTCAAGACAACTTCACTGTCCTGTCACACAATGAGGATTCAACGTCCATGAGTAAATTGTACATTAGTTTATTATATGAATTACTACAACAAAATAAGACTTGCTATGAGGATACCCTGCAATAATTCTAGGATGCAATAATCACACATTAATATAATATTCCACATGAAAAATTAATCACAATACTTCAATAATCCACACAAGAGAGAATAAAAAGATGTCTTCTCCCTGTCAGGTAAAATGGTACTCTACTGCTATACTAAAGCGTGCGGTCTACCTCCGGTCTAGAAAAAAATAGTTCCTCCTCTTTTCTGGTGAAATAAGAGACATTACAACTCTATGCTCAAATGCTTAGCGATCCTGACATAATAAAAATAATGTGTGAAAAATTACAGACAACTTGGTCTGTTATACTAGTAGACATACTAACCATGCTTAATTGAAAGTCGATAGTAAACACGATACATCAAAGAGATAAGCCGTGCCCATATGTGAACGTAGAGTGTGCTAGGAATCTAATTTGGGTCAAGCAAAGTTCACGCACGCGAACAGTGTCATACATAACAATTGGCTTTGGTCTTAACTGCGCTCTAGAGAAAGCCTGATGGGCTGGTTATAATAAAATAACGATAAGCTAGAAAGAAAAGAGCCTAGGCAAAAAGGCTATTTAAATTAGTTTAGCAGGCCAGAGCTAAGCAACTAGCGATTATGAAAATACGATTCTTTTTTTATTTCACACAGACCGGATGTTTCAATGCTCCAATTTTTTTAATAAAAAAAAAGTAAACAAATAAAGATGAATTTAGTTACTTGATTTTTTTTGTTTTGGTTAATGGGCGTATTTTCTATGTGCTCGCTTTCTCCCCCCCCCCAAAGTTGCGAAATCTGGCTACGCCACTAATAAGGTGACGATAAATTTAATAGTAACTAATGCGTTATGATCAATTGACAGAAAATTTGGAGTGCGAAAACAAATGAGAGAAATAAAACAATATATCTAAAAATAAATTCAATTTTCATTCTCTTTCCAGATGTACGAACACACTTTTATACAGCAATGTATTGACCACTGGCCAGACGAGCTGTTCAGAGAAGTGTACACCACCGCTGTCATGCTAATACAGTACCTTACACCTGCAAGGTAAGTCAGAACCTTACACCTGCTAGGTGAGTCAATATCTTACACATGCTAGGTGAGTCAATATCTTACACCTGCTAGGTGAGTCAATGTTTTACACCTGCTAGGTGAGTCAATATCTTACACATGTTAGGTGAGTCAATATCTTACACCTCCTAAGCGAGTCAGTACCTTACACCTGATAGGTGAGTCATTATCATACACCTTCCAAGCAAATAAGTACCACACATCTCATAGTTGAGTCAATATCTTACAGCTGCTAGGTGAGTCAATATCTTACACCTTGTAAGCATGTCAGTGCCTTACATCTGATAGGTGAGTCAATATCTTACACCATCTAAGCAAGTCAGTACCTTACTTGTGATGAGTCAGTATCTTACTCGTGATGAGTCAGTACATTACATCTGATAAGTGAGTCAGTACCTTAAATCTGATAGGCTAGTGAATAACTTACGACTTCTAAGTAAGTCAATACGTTAGTCAGTACCTTACACCTGACAGGCGAGTCAGAATATTACACCTGATAGGTGAGTCAATATCTTAGACCTTCTATGCAAGTCAGTACTTTAGTCCCGATAGTGAGTTAGTAGCCTTGCACCTGCTAGGTGAGTCAGTACCTTACCTGCAAGGTGAGTTGGTACCTTACATCTGTTAGTTGAATCAGAACCTTACATCTGTTAATTGAATCAGAACCTTACACCTGTTATTAGAGCAAGTCTCTTCCACCTGTTAGATGACTCAGTACCTTAAAATTGTTAATTGAGTCAATACCTTACACCTGTTAGTCTGTCTTTCGGGTCCAATTTTGTGTTATCTTATGCGGGCGAGGCAAAAAGTTTGTGTTTGTGAGTTTGTGTTAGTGTATGCGTTTTTGTGGTGTTTGTTGTGTTCGTGTGTGTATGTTTATGTTTGTATGTGTGAGTGAGTGAGACTGCGTGTGTATAAGTGTGTGGTGTTGTGTGTATGGTTGTTGTGTTTGTGTGTATGTGTGAGTGTGTGAGTTTTTGTTGTCTGTGTATGTGTGTGCGCACGTGCATGCGTGTGTGTTAGTGTGTGTGATTGTGTGTGGGTATGCGTGTATGTATGTGTGTGTTTCTAGCGTTTCTGTGTGTGCGTTTGTTTGTGCTTGTGTGTGTGCGTGTGTGCATATCTCACGACAAAGAAAAGTTGAACAGTCATTATTTTGAGTTTTTATGTCAAGTCATTCTTGATTAAGGTTAAATTAAATATAGACTATAGAATAAAAGTCGATATCTTGAGGGTATGAAACCATGAACTCAGGGCCGTCAAAAGTAAGGGTGAGTCGGCACTCACTTGAGGCGGCACTCAATTGAGGCGGCACTCACTTAGAGCGCCAACTTGAAGCTGATCCAAGTCGTCTTTTGAACGGGAATACAACAATATAATTTTATTTCACAAGTCCAGATGGCGCCACTTACATATTTTCTAAGTGTATATTTATATATCACATGTGCTCAAAGTCAGGGGTGGATTGGGCCGTCGGGGCACCGGGAAGACTCCCGATGGGCCGTGAGACTTACGGAAAACGCACTTTCGCATTTGCTGGTCCAACAATTTGGAACGCCCTTCCTGTCGATCTCAGAAACAACCAGACACTGGAGTCCTTTAAAACCGATTTAAAGACACATCTATTTCGCAAACACCTTCTGGGATGATTGTCAAACTTATTTTCCAGTTAATGCATAATGGTTGTGTTGCTTATGGTTGAAATGGCTAGAAAGACTTTCCCATTGTATGCTTGTAATTAGTTTTTGTAGTGTTGCGTTTGTTTTAAATGTGGTAAATTAGAGATTTGTTTTTTGTTGACTTTGTACCACGCTTCGAGCCTTTGGGGATGAAGCGGGTTTTTTAAATGAACTTCATTATTATTATTATTATTATTATATAATAAAAATAAAAGTCATGAAGATAGGGCCGCTTTTTTTTGTTTTTTCCCGGGCCGCCTTGATTTTTTCCAAGGCCGCTTGAACTCCCCAGTCCACCCTTGTTCAAAGCTCACGAATATCTCTATTCCTAGCTTTATTTCGTGCCTTCATGCAAAGATCTGCAAGTTTTTACACTATCGTTTGGAAGAACGTCCCGGAAGTGACACACAGATCCAGGCAAGGGCCAAGAATGACCTAAAGCGTCATCGAAGGAACATGGCCCTGCTGACCGCTATGGCCTTAGTGTTCTCTGTCACCTGGCTGCCCTTAACTCTGCTAAATATAACAGCAGATTTATTTCATGAGGTTGGTGATGCACACTGTCAAGCTAATGTAGTTAAACATTTTAGCATATTGCCTGTGATGCACAATGTAAAGCAACTGTAGTTGCACATTTTAGCGCCTAGTCTGGTGATGCACACTTTCAAGCAACTGTAGTTGCACATTTTAGCACCTAGTCTGGTGATGCACAATGCCAAGCTAATGTAGATACACGTTTTAGCATCCAGTCTGTTAAAAAGTATATATAATACATATGTAAGATTTTATGTATATTTTCAAATATCCTAGTCCTTAATTAAAGAAAAACAAACAATATGTACAAAGAAGCTAGCGATAACAAGTTGTACAATATTTATATGTTATGGATGCTCCGAAATTTCAAATCATTTCAGACAGCAATTATGTTAAATAGATGTGAGATTTAATGTAATACTTTTTAAAATAAAGATGTATATTTTTTTTTAAAATCGTACATGTGTTTAATAGCGTTGTATAATGGACAAGTAACAATAGAACCAGCAGCAGGTTACAATCCATATATCCATCAATCAATCCATCGAACCATAAATTCATCGAACCATAGTATATATATATATATATTTAGATCGATCCTGCTTATTTCAGGTGTTTCAAGAAGGTCAGTACAATCTGCTTCACGCGATCAGCCTCCTCCTCGCCATGTCCTCGTCCATGGCCAACCCCATCATGTACGGCTGGTACAACTCCAACTTCAGAAAAGCCCTCTGCGAGCTGCTCGGCTTCTCCGACGCCTTCTCTGGCAAAGGCTCCAGCAACGAGAGAAGCCAAAAGAAAACCTCGAAAGACTTGAACAGAAACAACACCAGCTCCAAATCAAACTCGTTCAACCACGAGAGGAAACTTCCTCGCCAGGGTTTCGAGGCTTTTCCCCCCTGTCATCGGACCACAAATTCCAGACACAGTTTTCACGAAGTGGGGTCCTCTAAAAGCGATGACGCCATCAGACCGGCTCAGAGATCGGGCAGGCGATGTTCCAGCCTGCATGAAATACAACGGCACCGACCTAACTCTTTCTCGTCGGGAAGTCCGAAACTCTCCTCGGCGGATCTCAAAATGTCGTCGCCGGAGGTTAAAAACGAAGGGCCGGTGGGAGCATATTTCGAGTTGACCGAGAGAGATTCACTGCTGCACGTCGTGGAAATTGCTCGACATAAACCAACGGATGATTGTTTGAACAGTCAGAGGAATGGGCGTCTTAGCCCTAGAGAGTCGGTGCCAGCAAGCCCCTATTTCGACCACGTCAACACATGTGGCACTCGTAGACTTAACGTCGTGGTCGAAATGTCCCCTGAGGCAATGCTGTGCTGTCGGACTGACGGCGAGCGATCCATGGCCCCGGACGCGACGGAAGGCCTCGAGGGAGATCAAAGACGAAGCTCTTATCTGAGTATTTTGAGAGAGTAAACAGACTAGACTGAGGCCTTATTATGCTATTCATTCTCTACATCAAAGTGCTCCGGTAAATCGCATTTCAACGCTGACACAAATGTGATGATTATGAAGGTACCCAGGGGTGTAGTTGATATATGTGGCTTAAACATTAATCGCACGTACAACCTAATTGATAAATAAATAGTTAACATTTTGATGTGATATGCCTAACACATGAAACACCAACCGACGCCGCACCAAATGGACTCGCCCGAGGTTCACGGCCATGCGTTTACTCACACACTGGCGTTCCCATTCAACCTGAGTGGGGGTAGTTATTTGACCCGGAATATCAGAAACCTTACGTAGAAACCTATTTTACAGTACATTTTCACGCCTGTTCGTATTATAGAATTCTGAAACAAATATGGACAATGGTTGCCGTAAGTTAAATAAGGACATAAATGTAGTCATGCAAGTAATATCTTTTTCCTATCACTGTATCTATTTTGAGAGTCATGTGTTAGACAGGCACTCCCAATATACAAAAGGGTCCTTAAACTACGGCCAGCGGATCAGATCCGGCCCACCAGGTATGTTTCACCCGGGCAGCTTTTAAGATTTATTCAAGTAAGATTATGTGAACTGAATCAAATTAAATTGAATATTTATATAGCGCTTGTATCCATACTACTTTAACATGCTCACAGCGCTCTGATGTTCTTAAATCTATTAAAATACAAAAAAATATTCTTTAAATGTCTCTTGAATGATTTTTTATCATTTTCAATTTCTCTCAAAGATAGAGGCAAACTGTTCCATAATTTTAGCGCTATCGCTTCAAAAGAGCGCACTCCGTATGACTTCTTTCTGTGTCCATCCACACTGGAAACTCTCAGTAAGGACTGTGTTGAAGACCGCACTGTGGTCATCCACACTTGGAGCTCTCAGTAAGGACTGTGTTGAAGACCGCACTGTGTCCATCCACACTTGGAGCTCTCAGTAAGGACTGTGTTGAAGACCGCACTGTGTCTATCCACACTTGGAACTCTCAGTAAGGACTGTGTTGAAGACCGCACTGTGTCCATCCACACTTGGAACTCTCAGTAAGGACTGTGTTGAAGACCGCACTGTGGTCATCCACACTTGGAACTCTCAGTAAGGACTGTGTTGAAGACCGCACTGTGTCCATCCACACTGGGAACTCTCAGTAAGGACTGTTTTGAAGACCGCACTGTGTCCATCCACACTGGGAACTCTCAGTAAGGACTGTGTTGAATACCGCACTGTGTCCATCCACACTGGGAACTCTCAGTAAGGACTGTGTTGAAGACCACTGGTTCTTTAAGGACACGTGTTTAGAAATCAGTTCTTTAAGATATTCCGGTGCAGAATCAAATATAGTTTAAGTCTTTACAATCGTTTGGCCGTAAATCATATGCCCTATGTATCAAATATTGACCACATCAACGACTCGAAGCTGTCCCCTACCTACCCGGATGCCACCCTACCTGCTGCATTTGTCACCCCTTATGCTGACCTTGAACCTACCTGCTGGACTGTAACATCACTCTATTGGCCCATCTGCTTTTTTAAGCACTCAGTGACACTGCTGACTTCCGCCGGAAGGAAATCTCCCATGTAATAAGAAGTTCATGTTGCAAAAGAATGGGAACAGTGAATTGTTAGTTGGTTGTTGGAAGGTAGGCACGAACATTTTAACGCTGATATATTGAAACAGTCTGTTCAATCCCCAGTGGAGGCAAACACAAAATGAAAATGGTAGGAAAGCCTTATTCATCATTGCTTTGTTTACTCTATTAATTAAAAACATTTTAAAATGTATTACATTGGATGTTGATATTGTAATGCTGGTTTTGTTTTTAAATTTTAACATTGAGAGTGAATAAAGGAAAAATATGTCATTGCATTCTCACCCCACCCTCTTTTGTTAATGAGAGTGAATAAAGCAAGTGAATTATGTATGTCTTTAAAGAAAAAGGGTCACATCAAAGAGAATGTAATGACTCACACAAACATCATCCACATTCTCCTCACCATTGTCCACATTCTACTCACCATCGTCCACATTGTATTCACCATCGTCCACATTCTACTCACCATCGTCCACATTCTACTTACCATCGTCCACATTCTACTCACCATCGTCCACATTCTACTCACCATCGTCCACCTTCTACTCACCATCGTCCACCTTCTACTCACCATCGTCCACCTTCTACTCACTATCGTCCACATTCTACTCACCATCGTCCACATTCTACTCACCATCGTCCACATTCTACTCACCATCCTCCTCACCATCGTCCACATTCTACTCACCATCGTCCACATTCTAATCACATTCATCCACATTCTCCTCACCAACATCCACATTCTCCTCTGACTAGTGGAGGACACCGAATCTTTCCGGCACGTGATTAGTTAAAATTAAATGATTAATTCTAGGACAGTGGTCGACAAACACTTGGCACGCGTGCCGGACGTGTCAAGCAGCGTGGTTTTCAATGGTTCGCGGAGACAAAAAAAATGTACAAATAAAGACCGAAAGAAAATTCTTTTACATTAGACTAAAAGGTTATTTGCACGCTGAATAAATAAAAAAAATCCCACCTTAGGACATTATTACCGTTTCATTGGCTGACACCTGCTCTAGGGCGTTCAATCAACTCCAGGTTCGTCCATCCATCTGGGGATAAGTTGATTTGCTGCCTTTCAAAAGGAAGAAAGGGGCGCCTCTGGGAGCTAACATGTGAAAGATAGCAAGGGAAAATACCGGTAATTACGGTGACCAAAAATAAACTTCGATTTTGAGGATGGGAGTGCTCGAAAGCACTGAGGCATTATGGAATAAGAGGCCAAACAAGAAGCTACATAAGCCACCGCTATAATTATACCAAACAAATTTTCATCAGTTTCAACATGAACGCTAAACTTTATTGCTCCAAAGTGTCATCCCATCTTTAATGTAACTGAGAAGGGATTTGTCGCTCCACGACGCGGTGTGTACTATTAAACATATAACACTATCACCGGACCGTGTATTGGACAATGATTATTTGAGAAAGCAACAAAGCACCCACGAGATCTCATCCCTCCCGGGTACCCAAAAAGACCCAAAACAACAAAGCACCCACGAGTTCTTATCTCTTCCGGGTACCCCATTAAAACCCAAAGCAACCACTGCCACCCTGAACCCAGATAAAGCCATAGTTCAGTATTGGCTCAAGACACTAATTATAGTAGCCACTTAGTCCAACTTACAGAAAACACCACATCTCACTTGAGAAGCCTTCCTGAGCGATCCCCCTCCCCCCACTTCCTTCGTTGCGTGTCAGCAAGTACAAGGAAACTGTTCAACAAGTTGCAATTAGTTGCTATGGTAACTGGGCGAAAGGTCATCTTGTCTTCTCTGGAAAGTGTCGTTAAAATAATAGGAAAAGGGGCTGTCTTCTTTGGGTGATCTCTTATGATACGACTTCATCTAAAACATAACTTTCTAAACAATCCTGGGTCACTAAAGAGACTACTTAAATATGCGATTCAATAGCCCCTCAGTCCATAAAGAGACTACTTACATATGCGATTTAGTGGCCCCTTGGGTCTCTAAAGAGACTATTTAAAGCTCCTCGACTGCTGATTCAGCTCTAATCTCCCATTTAGAGCCATGGTTTATTTGCAACGTAATAAATGAGTTACACATTTTGAAAATATACATTTATAGATTTCTCGGATCATGGAGAAATACCATCATGTTAAAATGAATTTTTTTTAAAAAAAGAAAGAAAATACTCGTGCAGAGTTGTAATTTCTTCAGCAGAATATGTTTTTTTTCCCTACATTGCTTTATGCTTGTAAGCTTTTCTTTAAAATAACCCAGCCCTGGTAACATCATGATGAAAGTATAAACTATAAATAACTTTGTTTTGGTTATAAATAAATGATAGCAGTCTCTGTGTTGCTATAGGAACTATATTTTATCTACCATTGATTTATTTGTGGGTTTTTAGTTGTGGGGGAGGTCGGGCGGATGTGGGAGTGTGGGGAATGAGATTGGGGAAAGAAGTATTCTTCCAGAAGTAAGAAATGAGGTTAAACAAGATTTACTGAACGTTTTTTTAGAACAAAATGTTCATAAAGTGAAAAGACAAAAGAAAGAGGAGCCATAAATCTCTAGAAGATGACAGGAGGGCAAGACAATCACGAAACTGTAAAAGTAAACGCCTGACTCACAAGCAGATGCATTAGAGATTTATCACTGTAGTCCTTGGAACATGACTTTTTTTTTGTTTTCAAGAAACAGTGGTTTTCGAACTAGGTGCCGGGGTACCTGCAAAGCGCGTCCTTTTGTTCCAAGGGTTGGGACTGACAATGTTAATCTTAATTTAAAAAAAAAAAAAAATTCTATATACGTGACGTCAAATGCGCCT